TTTTGGTAAAGTACCGGCAAACTAATTTCTCTCAAGGTGGAATTTCCACTAGGAACGGTTTGCCCGAGGATAATTGGGTCAGGCTATAGAGTGCAGGTGAAGAATAACTGTATGCAGCACCAAATTGAGTTTACTAAATATACTGTGGGTACAAGGCTTTCTACTTTGAACCTGCTTAACACCAGACAATACATCTTACAGGAATGAAGGATGCTCTAGAACAGGGGTATACATGCTATGGCAATCCAGATGTTGTGGACTACATATCTCCAGATGCCTTGCCAGCATTATGGCTGAGAGAGCTTGATGGGAGATGTAATCCACAACATCTGGAGTGCCTATTATGGCTCTGAGAGGATTATGGGAGAGGAGGTCCATAACATCTGGAGTGCCGAAGGTTGCCTCTAGCAGTTGAGAGTTGATTGTGTCTGTCCAACACATCTACACATAGGCTCTGCAAAATTACCCTCACATCCAGCATGGGATAGTGATAGGTTACAAATAACAGGGGATTTTGGTTATTCCTATTCACTCTTCTTGGTCTCCCTTTCGTTAAAAAGGGATGGATAGAGGTCCTATGAACCTAGTTGACTGGATAACTCATATGGTTCTGCAGTTGCACTTGTAGAGGGGAACTATACACTTTAATAGCTTAAGCCTGTAGGAGAATCTCAAACACTGAAGAACAACTAGCTTAGGGGACTTAAAAATAACAAAATTTGGAGCAGAGTAAATCATAATTTAAGATAAAGTTCTTGGCAGAAGAGGAAAAATAATTCAAGTTGTGGGGTGTGGCAGAGATTGGATTTTGCATTGTAAAGCCTAGCAAAAAAGATGCATAATTTGATACAAGGAGAATAGTTTAACAATAGGTCCTATTTATCAACTCCAAATTACATGGCAGTTATAGGTGTGAGTATGTGTAGCCTCGTGCTCATATTACCATCCAGACCAGTATAGATTATAAGGCAGTAAAAATCTTCATGATCTCAACGGCAACAGAGAGGGCAGGTCTTAAGTGCCTAGAGTAATTCAGGACTTTGTAAACTATACAATGTAATCAATTAATTGAGAATGTTGGGCTTAGTAGAAAAAAAAATAATTATTTAGAACATGGAGCCCAGTACAGAAAGATATTAAGTGTATGGAAAATGGAAAAGTCAAGATACAATTCAGTATGTCTAACCCCGAGCTACCATGTCACTACAAACCGCTAACTCTTTTGACTCTAACCTTCTGGGGAGCAGAGGGAAGGTAGCTCTGCTAAGATCCCCAATGAATCCGAAACTAGGAGACTTGCATCATGTGACAGACTCTGTGCTTTGACCACACTCCCTTTTGATCCCCCAGAGAGACGCGGACTCAGTTGGGGTAACTGTCGGACAAGCATACAAAGGCACAACTCCAAAGCAGCAAGTACCAAAGACTGTCCAGGAACCAAACCACCAGTATCATGGCCTTCTCCAAAAACCGGCAGGGTTTCCTTTTCCTCAGCACCATCATCCACTGGGAAGAGCAAAATAGTGAGAAGGGAGGAAAAACAAAAAGGAGAAAAAACTATGAAGAAAACAAAGTACATGCATGTAAGAGTTTAGCTGACCATATAACCAAAAATCTAACTCTCTCATCAAAATATCAATCCACATTATTTCTAATTAGAGTAGAATGTCCACATTCAAAATTAAAGCAAAAATTTATTTTGGAGTCATTGTGTTTTAAAAAAAATACTATCGGTATTCTTTATTGGTGAATAAAGGGTAAACATTTATATGCAAAGAGGCAATGAAGCCAATGCACATTACTGCATTTTGTGGAAAAATCACAGCAATTTTGTGTTTGATTGTAAGCAACATCAGTTTTCACAATGGGCCAAAGTCTGACAAGTAACTTACTAAAAAGTTAACGATACAGAAACAAGGAGACAGAAAGACATGGAAATATATATATATATATATATATATATATATATATATATATATATATACACACATACATATATATATATTTATATATATACATACATACATACATACATACATATACACACACACATATACAAAATGTCATAGCATTAATGGAAAACCAGACCATTGTACATGTATTTAGGTGCACTTGGCAGGAATAATTTTTCCCCCCCTTTGGAAAAAACACCCAAGAAAACAAAACAGTTTTGGAACGGTCTTGGAACATAAAAAAAGCTCATGGTTTCATTTTTCAAAATAACACAAATTACAAATTTCAGAGCAGGTTACAATATGTGTAGTTTTCACGTTGGCTGCATTTAGCTTAAACAGACTCCGTTCAATTAACCAACCTTCTGCACTCCGCCTCCTCTCCTTCACGTGCTCCTGTGCTGCACTCAGGATCTGCCTCCCAACCTCCAGCACCAGGTGTTGCACCTCTGGAGACTCTCGCATTACAAGCAAGCGGTGCAGTACAGAGATCAATTCAATGGCCAGGTTCTTGGAGGAATAGTGTAAAATAGAAAATGTGGTCAATGATCTATCAAGTTTGCATTCCGAGTGTAGGGACGAGGAGTATCCTCCTCTCTACCTAGATCCTCCTATATATTTTTTGTATTCATTCTGAAGGTAGGAGATATCTGGATGATCAAAAAAACAGGCTTACCTGAGAACAGTGACAATCACAAATTTAAATATTTTTGGGAATCTTAATTCTTTTAAATGCATTATCAATATAATGCATACAAATTAGAGGGAGGGAGTAAAGTCCACCGTGGAATATTTAACAAAACCTACTAAGAATAAATTATTGTGAACATATATACAACTGTGTAAACCATTTATAGCAGTGAGTTTTACCGGATCAGCCCCAATCTGAGTCCGAGGCCAGGCCACAATCAGTAGGGCTCTAAGGGCACGCAGGCAGGCAGTGATTCGCTCTATGGGAGCGTCCACAGGTGGGCAGCAAAGAAACTCAACACAGATTCCTGGACAGAGGAAACAATTAAAGTATATATTATACTGATGTCAATGTTTGTGTATTCCATTATTTCTCTAATGAAATTTCCAGTGATACAGAAGGACATGTGCATGGATATTTAATACAATCTTACCAAGAATAAGATGGAACCTTTCAGAGTTCAGATCCTCTGGGGACTTGGCTTGATTTTTTGAGCCGTCTTCCTGACCTATAGAGGTGGGGGTGACTGGACGAGACAGGTGACAACTTCCTTCATCCTGGTCTGAAAGGAGGAATCCACAGTTGCTTAACCAGAGAGATGAGGCATGAAGAATAGGTGCCCAGGAACAGAGGTAATGAGGTCTTGCTGCGTTGCTGGTCTCTGCTGTATAGAAAGATCCACCTGTGCAGCAAATGGTAGCGTGGAGAGAGATAGAGCAAAATAAAGAAAGGGATTTAGCACGAATAGATAACCTAAAAAAATAATTATTATTTCCTGTGTGTGCCAACAGTCCCTTGAGAAGTCATTACAGATGGGACTGAAGTCATCCCCAATGGAAAAGGCAAAATTCCCAAAAAATGTTCTTCTCCCACTCAGCTCTTTGTTCTAGAATCCCCAACTCATAGAACAGCCAAACAGAAGGAGAAAAGAGAAAGGAATAGGAAAAGTGAAGGAAAAACACAGGGCAGATGCAGTGTAAAAAAGAAAAAAAATGAGGATACCAGCACCCAAACATGAAAGCTTCATAAATTGTTTCAGTGGCAAATGTTTATAGCTATTTAAGGGACAAGTGAGACACCATCCTCTCTGAAGCTTACTGAAGTGGCTACGGACCCTGTCCCTTAACTCTTCTAACAAAATAAGGCTTTAGAGCAGACACCTAAATATTGTCAAAAAGTACGTCAGCAAGCTTAGTTTAGGGTGCTGGCACTACAAACACTTCTTTAAAATGAAATGGATTTGGTGCCTAGTGTGTCCATTTAATATGACAACTTATCAAACAGTCCTGAAAGATTGAATCTTATAAATCAGACCATTCATGGCCATTTCCTTTATCAGATCTACAAAGGCCAGTTTGGCCATTTTGGCTTTAAATTTGAAATTCACTTTGAATTGCTGATCTCCCTTCCGTTAATAACTTTGGGAGTACTTTCTAGCAATGATGTGTTTGACAAGGTCATTGAAATCATTTCACAGGTAATAAAACTTGTTGCTGCTCACGTCTACCACAAGGTATTTTGTGGCATTTGACTTTAGGTCCCACTTGCCAAAATCACTGCAAATCCTTCAGGTTTTGCAAAGTTGGTACTTTTCTCATCTTTTGTTTTTGTTGACCAATACACTGAACAATCAAATAACTCTTTCGTCATTCTTATTCTATAGATGTTTTGCTTGTATTTCATGCATACAAACTCTCTAGTTTTTTTTTTTTTTTTACTCCTTCTTGGGAAATTAACATGGTCCTCAAGTTTTAATAACTAATCTAACTATATATATATATTTATTTTTATTTTTTTTAAAGATAATTTTTCTTTTAGTTACTTCATCGGCACCGAATGTATCTGATGTGTTTTGCGGATTCCTTTTTATTTTTTGAGAGTATATACATGTATATGGTTTCTTACTTGTAAGCTCAGGTGTCATTTGTGTTTTGGACGTAGACAAGTAAGAAACTATGTATATTTTCTATGTACACAAAAGGCCTATTTCTCTCAAATATTGTTCACAAATCTATTTATTATATTTTCTTACTTGTCCACATCCAAAACACAAATGACCAAGAGGGGCTTCCAAAATCTGGATGTACCTGTCAAGTATTAAGATGAGGCCACTTGAGCTTACAACCGCAACTTTTTTTTTTTCCGCAAGACCAGCATATCACAATAATGCATGACGCCTCCGAAACACGCAGAATCACCAATGCTCACTTCTCATGGACATGCAACATACAAGACATTGGAAGATAAGTTGAAACTTTAGGAGACCAACTGGCAACCTTGCTTCCTAGATGGAGAGCTTGAAGAAACCATAAACTGATCATTAGTTTGGCTTACACTTAACAAAATTATTAACGCAACACTTTTGTTTTTGCCCCCATTTTTCATGAGCTGAACTCAAAGATCTAAGACTTTTTCTATGTACACCAAAGGCCTATTTCTCTCAAATATTGCTCACAAATCTGTCTAAATCTGAGTTAGTGAGCACTTCTCCTTTGCCGGGATAATCCATCCACCTAAGATTTGTGAACAATAATTAAGAGAAATAGGCCTTTTGTGTACATAGAAAAAGTCTTAGATCTTTGAGTTCATCTCATAAAAAATGGGGGCAAAAACAAAAGTGAACAATCAAATAATTTATAATTTTGTTTCAGTGTATGTTTCCTACAGATAGGTGAAGCACCCACCACTGCAACAAAGTGTGGATCTGCAGGACTAGAATGAACAATTCAAAGATCTTTGCTCCATTGCATGAAAATGACTGCTGGAGTGGACGTAGATGGAATTTTGCAAAGAAAACCAAGGCCGAAAGTGTCAGTCAGTCATTCAACTAAATCTTTATTGCAGTTGTTGACCAACAGACAGGGACAAGAGATGTCTATGTTTGTCTGAAATTACCAGCTGGGTATATATTACAGTGTGAAGAGGAGAGGTAGAAAAGGCAGTCTGAAGCCCTCATATCAGACTTACCCTGGACAGGCAGCTGTTTGGAGCACTCTGTGGGCAATGTGAGCAAAGCATGATCTTGCAAAACAGCCAGCCACAACCGACTGAGAGTGGAAATATCAGCCTGTACCCGAGGCATTAACACTTCAGAAGTGGCTTCACCAACGGCGCCCTCGGCTGTTATCTTTTCCATGGCTGCGATGTAGATCTGTGAGAGAACATAGTATGAACCATCTCTGCAAGAAGACACTTGTTAATTCTACCATGTCATAGATGGCTTAAAATTCACAGCATGCTCCTATCCTTCTCATTACCTCTGCCCAGGCTTTCAGGACTGCCAGAGCCTCCATTGTAGAAGTACTTTCACTGTAGACACTAGGGGTTTCTTTAACCACCTGTACGCGGCTCAGGGAGGACAATAGCAGCTGCTGAACCCTATGCAGGTCTGCAGGATCCTTCACCACCCCGGAGGCCAGCCAGGCACTGCACACCTGTATGAAGATCATCTTACTGTTTATGAGAAATAATGTTGCACACATCCCAAATATAGAACATCATTAAATTACGATTTAAAAACAAGACAGCAATGTCACCTGGCAAGCCTTGGCAGTGACATCAGGTGGGGTGTCTGCATTAAAGGCTGGTCTTACAGCTGCTACCACCTGGAAATAGGATAGAGGGGAGGGGGAAGTCTGATTAAATAAATAAATATAGAACAACAGGAAGATCAAACAGATTAAAGTAAATCTTTCAAAACACAGAGAATGAAGGTGCACTCTAAACACCATAATCCCCACAGCTTTTTGTAGTAGTTACGGGGCAAGTAATTCATTCCTTTAAAATGTCTGAGCCAATAACCTGGGCTCTTCCCATAGTCCTTGGCTCTGTTACATCTATAATAAGCAGAATATTTTCTTCTAAATTATCACCAATATAAATCTGTCCACATCTGGATAGCGGTGATAAGCTATAGCACCGGGGGCTAAGTTGCTTACAGCACTCACTGCAGTATATATTACATTGAATTAAAAGGCAATGATGGCTCTGGATAGTGTTGGAAGTGGCTTAGCCCAGTACTTACAGCCAATGTTTGCTATTTGGACAGATTTCTATAAATAATGTGTAACAACTTCCCCTCAACTACTACACTAAAAAGGAAATGTTAAGAATAGGTATATTCTATATTACAATGAGTGATACAATACAAATGAGAATATTTGATCTAGGCGAGTAGTGAAATCTCACATTGGCTTGGTACTGTTCTAGGATTAGGTGTCCAGGGAATTCAGGCTCTGGCACAGCAGAGAAACGTTGGATGATAAGGAGCAGAGCCTGAAGTCCAACTAGTCGCAGTTGTTCGCTGTGATCTGTGGCAGCCATGAAGGACATGCGGATCAGATCCTGCAAGTGCAGCACCAAGAAGTCCCCTAAGGGTAAAACAGAATAATTCATGCGCATCACTGGGGGAATGATTTTACACATAAAATCAGTGAAATATACCATGGTACGTATGAAAAGAAAAGCCATGTATGTCTTGTTTATTCCCCAACCTTCCACTCACTGTCAGGTTCTTTATCTTTCAATTCTTGAGCCAGAGCCATGTTGAAGTGAGTGCCTCCAACTGCTTCACATTGAGCAATCAGCAGACAAACGCACTCCATAGAAAAGATCCGAGTGCGCCAGCGAGGGCTGACTGATGGGGTCAACACCTCCTCCGTCTGAGATGTTAACACAGAGTCAGCCCATCCACGATCACCTTCTTCCTCTTGGGTCGTGTCTACAGAGGTCACCGCTGCAAAATCTGAGCAGAAGAAAAGTAAAAAACAAATTTATATAAAAAAAAAAAAAATCTAAATAAGGAGAGAAACCATAAGAACATTTTGAAGTATTCATTACATTTTCTTAGCCTGAAATACAAAATAAAAGGAATCCACAATTTGATGTGAAACGTTTTAAATGCAAATTTTCATACAGCATCATTCTAGTGGGACAGACAAAAATAATTAGTAATCTTCATTAGTACAAACAGACCCCAAACCAAAGATCCCATTTTGTGCTGAATACCACTGGAAAAAGGAGGTGGCCACAAGCACAAGACATCCCTTACTCTCAGATCCTCTTTCAATATAATACATATGAAATCTTGTCTAGAGCCACCATTACCACAATATCCACATCTGAGCCATAACAAAAACCATCCAGCCAAATGGCTGGCTTTGGAATGACCCAAAAGCAGTAATGGGCATTTAAACAATTTTAGAATAATGGCTCGTCTGATTCCACCAAACACATTAATCCACTGCAATTATTTGCAAGTGTGGATGGGTGAAATCGCACAAGCCTCTATTCTTCATGAAAAAATTGTGATGTGAACAGCATACATATGTGAATGTGTAGTTTAAACGGATGAGCTTACCTGCAGATGCAGAAAGTATATCCTTATGCAGCCGAATCCAGAAAGAGAGGCGAGCAAGACCTGTGCAGTTCTGCATGTGCAGCAGTGTCTCCTTCACATCTCGCAATAGCTGACTGTCACTTTCTTTATCCAAGAGGCTCAATAAGACTCCTTCCAGACCGAGCTCCCTCATATTAACATCTGTCCAGGGGTAGGAAAGGAAGTAATCCAATCAGAACATTTCAACCATAACACAGAAAGCCAATCCAAATTTTATAAAAATTAAGACATTTGAGAAAGAGAAAAAAGCAAAAGCTAAAGTGCAGAGCAATCATTTATACCTCTCATGCCTGCCAGGAGACATTTACAGTCACGAGAGGGGATCTGTGTGGACAGACATGGTGGGAAAACAATGCAAAGGATGTAAAATGAATGCTAAAAATCACATTGAATCAAGCAACTGGGTAAAGGTGAATTAGTTACACAGGCTAAAAAGAGACATGTGTCGATCAAGTTCAGCCTCTCTTACATCTGTTTTTGCAAAAAAAAAAAAAAAAACAGTTCGAAGTGCTTTCCAATTCTGTAGCAAAACTATAAAAAAAAAAAAAAAATCCTTCTTGACCCCAGAATGGCAGTCAGATCTCTCCTTGAATTAAGAAGCGGTTACCCCACATTCTATAAAATTATATCCCTGAAGATTAGATTTCAGTTACTATAGAAACATCTGGAGAAGAGTAGGCTAGTCAAAGCTGCAGCTGATACAAATTACTCTAGACTTCCTTTCGTGGTACCAGGCAAAGCCAGTCACCGGGGATGTAATTCTTGTCCGTCACATAAACACAACGTGTAATTAAATTTAGTTCACGGTTTTTGATTTCAGATATTATTAAGTCCTTCAAGAAAAAATACTTAATTTTTTATAACTGAATAAAAAAAATATTTTAAAAAAGTATATGCTTTGCAAGCGTTATTTTACAATTTATATTTTTAAAAAGGAATAACTTTAGTTCATTTCCCGGCTTACCCTTTTCTTTGTGGGCAGCCATCTCTAATTCTCTGATCTGTTAATGTCATGCACAATTCAAAAGATATGAAAACATTACAAGAGTACATTTTTAATGCCCTGTCCTTCTTCATGTTTCCAGGATTCATGAACGCACACTAGCTCTTGATTACCAGTGTGTTTTGGTTTTTTTGCTGGATAAGCTGTGCTTCTGGCCAAAGAGGAATTAAAGATGGATGCCTCCATAAAGCAAGGGTAAGCTAGTAAATGCACAGAAAATAAAACTTTATGGCTAACTGTGAGACACATCTCCTGTGTGCCCATTGCTTTCAAGAAGAAAACACAGGCTTTACAGTCTCTTTAAAGTTGCCGCTTTCAGATGCCAACATTCTGCTCCAAGGAGCTCCATACTGCAAAGAGCCCAAATACATAAGTGAGGCCCCAAGCTGTTAAATAAACATTTATACAAGGATACAAACACACATTCTTGCCCTAATAAATAAAAACAAAAAACTGGTTAATAAACCTCCAAAACACTTAATTGACATGCCCAAGGCTTCCATCAGGAGCATACAGGCACTCTGATAAGGGGACTGGTCCAGTTCAGGGCCCCACATGGGGCTCTGCAGCACTTCATGGTGCAGTTAGGGAGAAAGATCTATCACCCATAACTAGACCACATTCACCAGCAGTATTAGGGTCCTTAGCCTGCACTGTAACAATAGCATCTGAGCCTCATATGCAGGGCAGGGAGTGGAGAGGGCAGGTATTCTGGAAGAGTGTACTAGTACAACAGTTTATGTGTGCGTGGCATGTATTGTTTGTTGGGGCACCAAGATTTCTCATGGCAGCCCTGGCCATGCCATGTTTGTGCAAGTAATGTTCGAACCAAGCAAAAACTTGAGAAAAAAAATAAATAAAAAATAATCAAGCTCATTCCTCTGTGTGCAAAACAGGCGTACCCATATTAAAGTCCTCCTGCCCATCCTTGACCATTGTCATTGCGTGTTCTGACACCTCTGCCGCTTCCCTTTGGGCAAGTTGTCGTAGACAGGCCAAGACCGCTCTGCGCAGGTGTAAGTGGGGACTGCACAAGTGAACCTGCAGGAGATAAGCAAAGTTGTCATGTGACATACGGGAGGCAAATGTTTGGTCATAAAAAAAAATTAAAAATGGCACATTTGTGTTTTGTCACTCTCAAGCAGCAAGTCTATACAATTTAGCTACAAGGACAAAACAAAAAATCCAAACTTGGCCAGGTTTTGTTATATTAGAAGGC